ACTTGCTTGTGATTTTGCTAACATTTATTGATGGAGGACATCTAAATAACTAGGAAACCAGGAAGCATTTCAGTACCCTTGGTTGCCACATATTCATTCTCTCTGTGCAATAGTCTCAGTGCAAAAAAAAAAGAAGGAGGGGGGGAATTGATGGCTTTTCTTGCTGGCATTTTACAAAGTTACTAGTTCTCAAAGCTTTTTAAATAAAAACTTTTAGGGCTGAGAATCTGGTTGGCTGGTTAACATTTAAAAACAGATGCTACCAGACTGATCTTGTTTCTAAAAGTAATTTAAGTAGTCAAATACACAACATAGATGCTAGAATCATCACCCTCTTTTAACAACCCCATAATCCCTTGCGAGGTGGAGTATGGGCAACTGAGTGGAGCTGAGTGTTTATTGGCTGGATGCCCTTCCTGTCACCCATATTCAGCAGATATATTCTCAGTGTTCCTGGAGAGAGAAATAACTGCCTCTACCTAGGATTAAACTCACAGCCTCCTGATTATGAGGCAAGAGCTCCTCTAGGCCACTGTACCACTCACAGAGATGCTAGAATGATCTACTTAGTATAAAGTAGAGTTTGTAAATTTCCTTCTAGGCACTGAATCTGATGACCATTATCAAATGTTTTGACATTTTGGTTTGTAATGCTAATTTAAGAAGTGCCAGTTGAAGTATGGCAGGGGCCTCAGTTTAATACAGCACACATTAACCTGGCATAGACACTTCCAACCATGATTTAGCCCAGGGGTGGGTTGCTCCCGGTGTTACTGCCAGTTCAGTGCACGCAAACAGTTTGCATGCGCACACTCACTTTGCTCAGATATGCGCTCCGTACATGTGCACATTTGCTCTAAACAGGTCTGTGCATGCGCAAAATGTGGGAAAAAAATATAAAATGTGCAATGAAAATTGTTCTACGCATGTGCTGAACCGAAAATCAAGATGGTGCCACCATAGGAAAACCGGTTTGGGGGTGTGGCAGGTCTGGGTCACTGCCGGTTCCAGCAATCCAGGCCATCAAACCACCACCGGTTCGGCTGAACTGGTCCGAACCAGGAGGAACCCAGTACTGATTTAGCCTCAATTTGCCAATTCTCAGCTCAGGAAGAAATGCTGCAAACTATCTCTGCTGTTTTTCTTCTGTAGCACCAAGTTAATCAATTCAGTTTACAGGGATGTAGGAAGAGGGAATGATTCTGAACT